ATCCCATCCCGTCCCATCCCATCCCCTAACTGCTGTATCTCCCACGGGCCAGGCTCAGGGCACAGCCCATCCCAAGGCCAAACGCGTCCGCATTTCCATTGTGGTAAGCTGCAGCCAATCGCAGCCTGGGCACAGCTCCTTCCAGCCAATCAGAGCCTGGCAGGAGTTCTATGAACCAATCAGGGGCCTTGCAAGATTCTGCTTGGCCAATCATGTTGGGTCTATATCTGTGCAGTCCCTCTTGGACAGTTACGATTCCCTCCAACCAATCCTGTGTGCATCTTCCCCATCCCAAACTTTGCCAGGAACTGGGACATGGAGCTTCCCAGCCATCACAACCACAGGATCTACCCCACCTTGCTCAGCCAATCATGGCGCACCTTGCATTCTCTCTGCCAATCACAAGCTTGGCTTGTCCAACTGTGGCCAATCAGGGTGTGACCAAATGTCCTGTCAACCAATCATGCTACTTGACCTGCCCATGTGTTGCCTGCACCCTCGCTGCACCCTCGCTGCGCCCTGCCTGCAGCCCGATGCGGCTGCACCGCCTGCCGCCCTCATGGCTGCTCCAACACACCTCTCTTGCAGGAGGAGATGATTCTGGGTGACAAGATGACCCCGGCAGAGGTGAGGAGTTGGGCAGAGACAGGCAGGACCCTTCTGCTCAGAGGGATCCCAGACATCCCAAAGGGGTGCAAGAACATGGGGTGGGCATGGGGAGGTCTCCATAAGACTGGGGGTAAGGAGGAGGGGAGGGCCCTTGCTGGCACTTGTGGGGATGCCATATCCCTTACCCTGCCCAATGGCACCTCCCCAGATCCTGGAGTGGGAAGAACAGCAGCTGGACCAGCTGGTGGACTTCAGCAGTGCCAAGATCGACCCTGCACCCTTCCAGCTGGTGGAGCACACCTCGCTGCACAAGGTGCGCCCACACCCCACCCCAGGCCCCCACCACAACCCCCAGACCCTCATTACAGCCCCCTCTTCCTGCAGACCCACACCATCTTCTCTCTGCTGGGCCTGGACCATGCATTTGTCACCAGCATTGGGCGGCTGGTGGGCATGGTGTCCCTCAAGGAGGTGAGCAGGGGACAGGGGGGCTGGAGGGGCACAGAGCAGCACCTGGAGCTGTTTGCCCATGGGTTTGGGGTCCCTGCAGCTCCGCAAGGCTATCGAGGGCTCGCTGACGGGCAAGGGGGTGAAGGTGCGCCCGCCACTCGCCAGCTTCCGTGACAGCACCGCCAGCACCACTGAGGCCGACACCACCGCCCTGCGCCAGCTCTGGGATCGCCACCAGCACCACCACATGCCCCGCGAGGCTGGTCCTGGGGGCGATGATGATGATGACACCCCCAGGGGCCAGTGAGACCCTTGAGATCCACCCCCATCGTGTCCCCAGAAGCCACAAGGGCTCCCTGGCTGGTGCTGGGGGATGCCCACCCTGAGCCCACTGATGCCAGGCTCAGCACAAGAGTGGGCACTGTCAGTCCAGTGCCTCTGCCCCCTTGCTGGGCTGGGGACCAGCCAAATGTCCCCCAGCCAGCCCCTGCTCCCCAACTACCTGCCAGCTCTTGGGGCTTCCCACTTTGCTACCTCTGTACCCCCAAGCCCCTGGTGCCCCCAGAATGGCCACTGCCCTCACACCTTCCATGAGCACCACAATGTCCCTTCTTGGGGTGGCAGGGGCAGAGAGGGGCATCAGGTTGGGGTGTCCACGGGAACATGGGTGGGCATTGCCTCCTGTGCTCAGCACCTCATGGCTGGGAAGAGAGGGTCCTGCTGCCGCTCTGCCATGCACTTCTTCCCATGTAAATACAGAGATTTTTATATTAATTTAATAAAAGGACTTTATAAACAGAGCTGAAGCACTATGGGGATGAAGGTGGAGAGGAGCACAGCCAGTGGGCACCAGCTGAGCTTCACCACAGTGCTGGGGTTGGTATCACTCCAGGCAAGGAGCCTTTTGTCACCCAGAGCCGCTCACAGCATGGCCTCACTGCGGTACAGCAGCTGCGGGGGCTGCCCTGCAGCAGCGGCGCGGCGCTGGACAGTAATGACCAGCGTGCCAGCCTCGGTGAGGGTGCAGCTCACCGACAGTGGGTCCGTGTCTTCGGGCAGCTGGCACTTGTGCGTGAAGGTGTCACAGACAGTGCCATCTGCAGCCACCTGTGGGGGAGCAGCACCGGTGCAGTGGAATTCAGTGTGGCATGGTGAGGCCCACAGCACATTCCCAGTTACCCCAGTGCTTCTAATGGGGCAACTCCCAGTCACCCTGGCTCCAGCAGGGGGTTCAATAGGGAAGATCCCAGTGACTCCAGGGCAATTCCCAGTTACTCCATTGCCAGCAGGAAGCAGGCCTCTGCTGCCCAAGTCTTGGCTTGCGGGGTAAATTCCAGCTACTCCAGTGCCAGCAGGGACTGTTCCCACTTGCCACCTCCAGCAGAGAAGGCAATGGAGCAGGAGTTCCCAGTTGTCCCATTCTCAGTGAGGACAGTTCCCAGTTATCCCAGTACAGAACAGGAATGAGCAGGACCTATTATCCCATCACTGGGGCACAGTTCCCATTTACCCCAGTGCTAGCAAGGGCTATTCCCAGTTACCACCCTGTCCCCACCACCCGCAGGAGGGGGTGTCATGGGACAGGACCCACACTGTGCCATGGCTGAGGGGGATGCTGCCCCCTGGGGTTCCTCACCTTTTCTGCCTGGATGGTGACATGGCAGTTGGAGGTGGTCACCACAATGTCAGGGGGCTCAAACTGGCTGACGTCGGCCACCACTTGGTAGGTGTCACCCTGGGCACGCACCCAGGTGCCCAGGCTGCAGGGGTACATGGCACCTGGGGACTCTGTGGGCATTGGAGAGCTGCTGGGCATGGGGCCACAGTGCCTAGGGGCTGGGGGACTGGGAGGTGTGGGAGAGTCTGGTGACACTGGGGGACTGTGAGGGCTGGGGCTAGCAGGTGGCAGTGGGAGTTTGGGGATATTGAAGGTGCTGGGGAATTGCGGGGGGTACTGGGGGCCTGGAGGCACCTGAGGGCCTGGGAGATTCCAGGGGCACTAGGCAACCTGAAGCACAGGAGGGTGAAAACACTGGGGATGACCACGAGAGTCTGGGGAGGGTGAGCTGGGGGGAGAGAAGAGGACACTGGGGTTACTGGGGCTGTACAAGAAGTGGGGGCCTAGCAGGTGACATCCAAGGGTGTGAGGACAGGGGAGCTGAGGACATAAGGGCAGCTGGGATGGTCTGGAGTGGGGAGGAAAAGCTGTGGGGGGTTCTGGGGACAAAAGGAGGATCAAAAGGGTCTGGGGAAGGGGAGGAGACAGCGTGGTGGTCCTGGGGACAGCAGGAACACTGGAGTTAGCAGGTGTACAAAAGCACTCGGGGAGTAAAAGCTGGAGGACAGTCCAGAGAGCCATGGGGTACCCAGGGGGCAGTCAGGGCTCCCTTCTGATCCCTCCCAAGCTGAGGGGAGGGTCGTACGCCAGCCCCAGGCACAGGTGAGCTAGATAACCCCTGGGGGGCCATCCCCAGGGTAGCAGGGCCGCCGCACCCTAGGGCTCCCCCACCCTCCACACCCGGTACCTGGGTACCCAAACGCCTCCTGTCCCCGTGCCCCAGAGGGTCCGTGCCGCCGGTCGCCCTCGAAGCGGGGCTCGCTGTGGCCCTGCCCGTAGGCACTGAGGAGCTCGGCGCGGTACGTGGAGGCTGAGCCGAGCGATGCCATGGTGCCTGCTGCCCGCGCCCCCCAAGGCCCTGCCGTGGGGAGGGTCCAGCCGCCCGCCCGCCAGCCACCACCGCTAGATGCCCATAATTAGGCACCCTGTCTGTAGGAATGCGAGATAAGGGACGAGGCCTCCGTCACCCTGTGGGGCCGCAGAAGGGGCTGCATCCCTGCCACGGATGGCCTGCCACCCCCCAGCCCCCTGGGGAGGAGGTGCCCCGCACATGCGAGAAGAGGCACCCGGCGCAGTGCTCGCACAATTGACTTTATTCAAGACCTGGCAGGATGGAGGAGGGGGTGCCATGGTGTGGGCACCCCACGGATACTCCACAGGTACCGCCACAGCGGGGCGGGGGGGCTCAGGCAGCTCCCACGGATATGCACACGCGTGCACATGCCCATGCGCTCCCAGGTGTGCACATGCACACACACACAGAGCAAAGCCCCCCACCCATCCACAGGCAGCCTGCACCCCCCGGCCCATCCCAGTACCGTGGGGAGCATCCACTGCCCCCGGGAGCGAGCGGAAGCGGGTGGCAGGGAGCCATCAGCATGGTGTCGGGCCTGCTGGGCCCTGCAGCCCCTCGGTGATGCAGGGCAGGGAGGACCAGCCCCACACCGGGCAGCCCATGGCAGGGAGGGAGAACAGGAGCTGTGTCCGGCAGGGGTCAGTGGGGGTGCTGGGGGGATGCAGGGGAGCAGAGGTGCTAGGGTGCATCCCGGGGCATGGGGACAGGGAACAGTGACTGGGCTGGGTGAGGAGCAGCATGCAGGGGGAGAGTGGCCCCACGAGAATACGTGCCATGCAGGAAGGGGTGCGCAAGCGTTGGCAAAAACTGGCATTCCTCCCCCAGACGACGTGCCTGGAACCCCTCACGTGGGCTTGGGGGGTTCCCCGAGGGGGGGTGCCACCCCCAGCCAGGACGGGGGGGGGCTGGTCGCCCTTCATGTAGGCACTTGGTTCCCTGCCAGGGGTGATTGACTTGTGGACAGGGACATTGGTCCCACATCCTACCCCCTCTCTCCACCCTGCATTGCCACACAGCAGACTAGGGGACCCCTGGCTGGGCTGACCCCCTTGCCACAGGGCTGGACTGGGGCTGCTCTCCTGGTGGCCCAAAGCCCCCAGCCTGGGGGCCTGCACCCACCTGGTCCTGCAGTCTTCCTGTGTCAGCCCCATGCACGTACAAAAGTATAGAAAGTCCCAGCACCGCAGCACATCCACAGCCCCCCAGCACCCCTGGCACCCCCACAGCACCCCTCCAGCAGCTCCATGCTCCAAGGCAGCAGTTCACAGTTTTAAACTCGGTCCAATGAAAGTTGGCCAGGGAGAGAGGAGAAAAGCCCTTCCCACACCGAAACCCCCACCACCACCCTGGCTTGGGGTGGTGGAGGCACCACAGGATGATTGGAGAGTTTTGAGCCATGCCATTGGGGGAGAGGGAACTGTGCCCAAAAGGGGAGCCCAGGGTGGGTTGGGGGAGAACATGCGATCAACCAGCCCCACTTATTTAGTCTTGTCAGTTTTTGGGGGCACATCTGGGCATCAGAGCAGAGGACAGACCTCCCCAAGCCCTTCCCTGCGCCCCTTCCCTGCTCTCATGCAAAAATCCAGGAGGGCAACGATGTGGCCAAGCAGGGCCGGGGCACAGTGGGGGCACACTGGCTGGGGGGGCTGCAGTGGCCCCCGGACCCCTCCTGCACCCAGATAGCAAGGGGGAGCAGTGGCAGGGCCTGTCCCTCACCCAGCATGGGGTCTGGCCAGAGGGCTTCAGCAGTGGACCTGGACCCCCACCAGGAGAGGCAGGGCACCCCAGGAGGCATCAGGGCTCTTCAGCCTCCTCCTCCTCCAGCGATGCCACCCCAGAGGAGGCGACGTCAGAGATTTTCCGGCGGAGTGGGAAGTCCTTGCTCAGCACCACCTCGTCCTCCGTGGGTGAGAGACAGGCTTCGGCGTAGGACACGGAGTAGAGGGAGTCCTGGCACCGGAGCCGTGCCAGGCCCCGCAAGGCACTTTGGCTGGCTGGGGGCTGCAGCTTGGGCAGCAGCAGGTCCTCGCCCCCCAGGGAGCCCAGCAGTTTGGCAGTGAGTTCAGAGGGGGACACCATCTCCAGGCTGCAGAGGCTGGAGCAGAGAGTCTCGGGGGAGAGGGTGTGCGAGGAGTCGCTCTCGGGCTCGCAGGAGCCGTGCCGCACGCCCAGTTGGCACAGGTGGCCCTGCAGCAGGTCTCGCAGCAGCGCACTGGCGGGCATTGTGCCTGTCAGCTCTGTGAGAAACCAGGATGTCTGGGTCAGTCTAGGGCTGAGGGCACCAGGGATGGCAGCCGCACCCTGCCCTGTGCCTCACAGGTTGGGAGCAGTCCCGTACCTGCTTTGCCCACAAATTGCTCTATGCATGGCACTGGTCACCAGCAAAGGAAAAGCAAAACACTCTCTGGCACCGCAGAGGTGTCGCATTTAAGGGCTTCCCCATCCCTGGCTCAGGCACTGTTTGCCAGGGTGCCAGGCAGGGACACTGCCCTGTATGGGAATGGCCAGGCTGGGGAATGGGCCAGGCAGCGAGCATCCCGTTCCTTTAACCCACAGTGGTGGGAAACCCACACCAGCAATGGGACAACTTGCCCACTCCCCACGGCACTTACCGGTGGGCTGGGAGCTCTCCGTGGAGGGCATGAAGTCCTCATCGTAGGACTCATCATTGGAGTCGTCCCCATCCACTGAGGACCAGGCTCGCAGCTTGGCCTCAGCAATGGCAAACTGCTCCGCCACACCTGGCACAGGACAGGCACGGATTGAACACACGCAGGGAGGTGCTCCCAAAATCCCACTGCCCTGGCACCTCTCTGCCCATAGTGCCATGGGATGGATGGATGGATGGATGGATGGATGGATGGATGGATGGATGGATGGATGGATGGAGACAACCCACCCCACCACCCCTGCCCTGGGCTGCAGTGGGAACCATGCCCTCCAGCTGTGCCCACGGTGCCTACCGGCAGCGAATCGCGCCTCCTGCTCGCCCTCGCTCAGGTGGCAGTAGGAGCTGAAGGCGCTCTCCAGGGCAGAAGGCGACTCCACTGGCTTACACCAGCCCTTCCACTCAATGAGGTGGGCGACACGGCCCTGTGCCATGGCCGTTGGCTTTGTCACGTGCTCCTTCACCACCTGTGAGATGCCTATGGGATGTGCCCCAACGTCAGCATGCCCTGAGGCATCCTAAGTCCCCACCACAGAGCCCATAACCCTGGGACCCAGCACTCCCTACCTCTAGTCCATGGGATCTGGCACCCCTATGTCCTCCTCTTGAGTGTCACCAGTAACCCCTGGGCTCCCTCAAAACTCCAGACAGGTGACACCCAGGCCCCCCACAAGAGGCCCAGACTCCTCACCTCAGGACAGCCCCCTTTCCCAGATGAGCCCCTGGGTGAGCAGTTACCGTGCAGCGAGGAGCGGGCCAGGGCAGCGATCTCCTGGATGGTCAGCGCGCGCCGTGACTTGGGCAGCATCTCGACAGTGTCCTCAACATTGACCTGCCAGAGTGGCAGCGTGGTCACAGCCCTAGCACCATTCCCCTTCTGGGAGCCCCACGCTCCAGAAGAGGGCTTGGCCCTGCTTGGTGCCTACCCCAGGGGCCCTGGGGTGTCTGTGCACACACACATTACAGGCATACATGTGTGCAGAGCGGTGGGCACAGCAGGGCACGCTCCCAGTGTCAGTGTGCTGACACTGTGTACACACCTGCACATGCCTGCTCAGGTCACCACACGTGTCCACATACAGAGGCAGGCACTCAAACACACAAGCTGACCATAAACACACACCTGCACACTCACACCTGAACTCCACTGTGCACACACGTGCACCTGCACGCTTGTGTGTGCTCAGTTGTATACGTGCCCTGTGCTAGATGGTGTCACACACAAGTGTGCTCTCCCCAGCTTATGCACGCACACGTGCACGTGCAAGACCACCACAGCCTGGCTCCCCAGCACCCACTCCCCGGCAGCCCACAGCATGCCAGGACATCCTGTTTATGGCCCCATTGCTATCCCAGCCATGTCAGGCCCTGAGCCCATGGCCACGGGGGAAGTGATGTGGGATTTGGAGGCGCGCAACAAATTGCATTGCCATGGCAACGAGGCACCGTGGACTGATTTCTCCCAGGATACAGCCCGGCTCATGGCTGACGTCAGAGCAGCCCCGAGCCACTGAGAGCTGGCAGGGCCATGGCCAGGACGGGTGCCCCGCCATGGGGTACCAGCACATGGCTACCTCAGCCGGGCATGGCTGGGCTCGGTGGTACCTGGAGGAAGTCCTGGCTGTCGAAGGAGGCCTGGCGCACCAGCCGGGGCAGCGGGCGGGCAACACTCAGGGGTGACAGTGCCTTCACCTCCTTCCACTCCACACACAGCGTCGTGTCCACGGCCACTGCAGGAAGAGCCGAGGCCAACCTCAGCACCTCCATTTCCCCAGCAGACCTCTCAGTCCCCCACCCACTGACCCTGTGGTAGCAGCTTCTTGTCCAGTCTGAGACCAGACACAACTCGTTGCTGCGGCACTGGTGACTCATGCCCGGGCAACCCTTCCGCCTGTGTCAGCGGTAACGCGCGTCCCCAGCCTGGCACTGGGGACCAGGCGCCTGTCCCAGCTTGGCAGCTGCTGTGGGAGAGGTGGACCAGGCTGGACTGTGCCAGGTGCTCGGTGTGTGAAGGGAGACAGCACTGGGCCATATTTGCAGGAGCTGCTGCTCCTCCACTATCTCCAAAATCCCCCTCTCCTATTTCCTGCCACTGGGTCAGGAGGGAAACAAGCAAGAAGGGATAAAGTCAGTAAAAGCACACGCACCCATCTTTTGCCGCAACAGCTTGACCTCCTGAAACTGGCACCTCAACTGGGTGGGTGCCCACACCTTCAGGCACTGACTCCCAAGCACTGGGGGTCTCCTATCAATGCAGTTGCCATGAAAGGCCAGTCCCAAATAGGCCAAGACAGGATATCCCTCAAGAGCTTAATTTCCCCTGCACCAAGGTGGGCCTGGCTGACGTCAACCAGCTGTGAGGTGGGATACAGGGAAGCTCAAAAGTGCTGCCTCCCACCCACATCTGAGGGTACACCCTGGCTTCCTTGGGAAATTGCAGAGAGGATCGCCCCCACTCCCAGCTGTGGGCAGGGGCACCCTGTGGTGACATCCTAGCAACAACACCCCCAGGGCCCCTCCAGCATGTCTGCAACACTCTCTACACTGTCCTAGCCCCCACGAACCCAGCCTCCAGAACACCCTCTGATCACAGCCCCCATCCCTCCTGCAGCACCCCCAGGACATCTGCAGCACCCCACACACTGCAGCAAACCCCAGCCTCCAACGGCCCCCCGAACAACTCTCTCACAGCTACCCCATAACCTCTCAGGGCTCTAACCAGCAC